ATATATGTGAAAATGGCCTGTTGAACTTCATATGTGAACTTTACCATGATTCTTGATATTGTAACCTCTTGAATATGTTTAACATGCCTTATTCTACTTGTTTATGTGTCTTGTTAGAACCATAACATGTTTAGGGTTTGTTTCTTGCCTTTGTGAAAGCTTGAACATAAATGGTATACCTTGAAACTTCTTTGTGATTCATAACATGATTCTTGATGTTGTAATCTCTTGAATGTGTCTATCATGTTTCATTCTACTTGTTTATGTGTCTTGATAGAATCATAACATGCTAGGGCTTGCTTTGTTTTGGTTGTTACCATAAACTTGTGTGTGTTTCCCCATGGAACCTTGAATTTCTTACTTGATTTGTTGTAACATTTCTTGTATGCCTATTTGTACTTGTTTGTCATCAATGCATGATTTTCGGTATCATGTTGTTACATTTGACATCTTTGAAAACCTATGACACGCTTGCCTCAAGTTGTGACTTGCTTGCATTTAAACTTATTTGCATTTAAACATGTGGTTGTTACCTCATTCTCCTTCATCTTTGTCAAGATGTTTCAAGTGGTTTTTACCTCTTATGTTGGTCTTGTAAGAACCCCTTCATGATATTGTAATATCTTTGTGCATTTTTTATTGTAACCATTTACCTTGATTGAAATCTTTGCTTGATATTGTCATATGCTTGCGCGCTCTTGGTTGTAACCATACCTCTTATATATTCATCATGTTTGAATGTTTATACTTTGTTAAGTTATTCGCCAAGTGATGGAACTTTTTAGTTCTCATCCATGTTGCCTCATCTTTCCCCTTCCAAAGAAAAGTCTCTCTATTGACCCTTGGGTCATAGATAGCTCATTGCCCCCATAGGCCTGGATAGAGCCTCACTCCTCCTTTTGGTCTGGATAGAACCAATTGGACTTACCCTTTAGAACTTAGGTTTAGATTTCTTAATCCTTTGTAGGCCTGGATAGAGCATCCTCCCTCCTTTTAGTTTGGATAGAACCAATTGGTCCCCGTTCCTTAGTTGTGTCCAAACTACAGACGCTCTGATTTCTCATTTGCTAATGGGAATACGTAGGCATAAGATGCGATATCTTTACGAGCACCCTCCTCCCTCCTTTTGGTCTGGATAGAACCAATTGTTCTTAAAACGTAGAATTAGGTAGAGTTTGTTAAACTATACGTAAGAATCATGGTGATGATTACTTACTCCCCTTTCTTGAGTGTATAATTTAGATTAGAGAGTTTTGTTAAACTCTACACAAGCATTGTTATGTTTGTTCCCCTTTGAACCTTGATCATAATCAAGAGTTCCTCATCCCTAGTGAGGTGAACTACGTTTGCTTTAATTCTATCCTAGTTAGGATACATAGGCAGAGGTGCGATATTTTTGCAAGCAAATTTAGAAACTATCTCTAGGTCTTTACCTACACCTTTTACCCTAACTTTATACCCAAATCCCAAACCATAGCAAACATTTAGCAAATTTAGCATACAAACATACAAAAAGTTCTTGTAGAGTACTACAGATGTTTAGGATGTGAAATATCTACCCTAGGCATAACCAACCCCCGATCCCCGATCTCTTAGCGTTGTTGTTACATCGCGCAAAAGGTCTTTCTTTCTTTAACCTTTCCTTTAGATAAATCAAAGTTCGGTTGTGAATTTTAAGAATTAAGGTTCAAGTTAATCAATAGCTTGGTATCACGATTTTCACTGCAAAACCCGCCAACCCATCACCTTGGCGGGGCAAACTAGATTTTAAAGTCCAATTTCACTTGGTGAGCTTATTTGTCCCGCCCCTTTTTAGCGGGTTTAAAGTGGGGTGGGGCGGGCGGCCCATTTTCCCACCTCTAATAAATACCATCTGCACAGGGTTGTGGATGTCGACAGTAATGATATGTAGGTTAAGTATCGCCGACAGTGTGCGTTGAGGTGTTACCTCTTGTTCCTAGTTGGAACATGCATGTTTGTGGACAAAAGTGCAACCTACGTCGTTGTGGTCTACCTTAAATAAATTATCGACTTGACGATAACTTAGGAGTACAACGAGGGGGCGCCTGTTTGGTTTACTTGTACTCGAAGTTGGGTGAGGGTTTTCTTTGGAAGAAAAAACATATGACAGGAAGTTGCACACTACTTACAGTAATGTACTGTTACTAACATTTTCATAAATCTTTTGTAGCACTTGTTATTAATAATTTATCTTAACCATTTTAAGGAATGAATCGTCTCCCATTTTCCTCACATCTTTGGGTGGGAACTTGTGCCTAACTACAATGAATATTGTCCACATGCTTGTACCATTGGCACACTCATAAATAATTAGGCGATTATGCTCTTCCGAGTGTATCATGACTGTCATGTAGCAAATGTCATTGCCTTCTTCCCATACGACGGGCTCATCCAAACGTGTCAGCTAGACATTATTTTGTTATACTCCTGATGGCTAGCTTGTGGGTCAGGTCTAATTTATTTGTATTTGCATGAGTGAGTGATGCACCAGTTTGGATATTTGTAGGTTATTCTGAGACACCCCTCAGAGTCAGCTCCTTTCATCGTCTGCTGCAGAGATATCGATTGTCATACTTGAGGATTTCGAGAATCATTTGGTACAAGAAGACTATCGCAGCATACCAACTCCTATACATTGGGCTTATGAAGACGACGACGCGACATGGTTATATAGGGTATCACATTATATCATGACTCCAGATGCTCATGAAAGACCACTTAAGCCTGCTAATCAGGAGGTAATAGAGGCTATGGATGGCCACACCTAGTATGTACACAGCTTTTGTCGACATATTATGGATATCGCGAGATTGGGCATAAAGGCAAGACTTTTTGAGGAAGGCAGTCCCCGGTTAGACCTCGTAGAAGGAATTACTGTTGAGGCCTAGAATGATTTGCAGTACAGACGGAGAAGCCGGAGGGTTAGGCATACAAAATGGTTTTAGCTTTAGTTGTATTTTATTTTATTTTTTCATTTTCGAACAAATGTTATGTATGATTTTTTTTTAAAATATGTGTAGTATGTTTGAATCAATTATGTATTCGTTTTCTAATTTATGGCCTAGAATGACCTAAAATTTAAGTTGACCTCAAAAATGTCAAAGTTAGAAAAATGTTACTGTCTATAATACATTCAGAAGGATTTCTAGAGATGCATCTACGAAATATCTCATTTTATATTATGGAGATGAATCTTTGGACTTACGCCAAATATTTGTTGGAGATGTATCTCTAGACGATATTTTTTTGCAAAATGAGGTTGTGTATCTGTTTATGAAGGCTGTGTGATTTTAGGTGTGTTTGGAGATGCATTTTCAAATACAGTAACGATATTTTTTAATTTTCATAGATGTGAGATGTTGAATTGTAATTCCTTATGTTAAAGCAGGTTGCTCGACAGAGACAAGGAAATTGTTGAATAATTTAGTGTGTATGTGTGTGTCGAAACACATAGTTGTTGAAGTGTCAAGGAGTTAGCCTTGACATGGATTTTGTCTTAAACCTAATTTTGTAATGTTGGCAGAATTATGTATTTTGGGATTTTGTTTTTGGGCTTTACTTAGGGATCAAGCAAGCTAAATCTATAATTATTGTAAAGTGTGATTCACTTGAATAAAATTGCAGTTTTGAGAGCAGAGTCAATTTTATTGAGAGCAGAGAGTGACTCTGCAAAAATTCTTCTTTTTTCCCTATTTTGTTGTGAATCCCTACTTTTCTTTCTTCCCAATTTAATTTTCTTTTCTTTTTTTCATCACCATTATTCAGTGATACAATCTTGTAACTAAGCTTGATTGATTCACTTGAGTGAAGAGTGAAAAATAAGAGATAATACAATCCATTGATTAAATCTTATTCATCAAAATTGATTCTGAATTACTCAAGACTTAATTCTAACCTGAGATGCACTCTATAAAATGAGATGAGCATTCCTCTAAAATTATACTTTCTTAAAAGTCTCTTTTATTCACATAGATGGAGAACACCATCAATCACGAAAAACATTCAAAACTTTTTAACATTTTCTTTTTTAATAAATTGTTCGCAGATCCTAGCCGAATATATGATGATTAGGTAAAATTATATATTTATTTTATATTTTTCATTTTTTTTGAATATATGATGATTAGGTAAAATTATATATTTATTTTATATTTTTCAATTTTTTTTCATTTGATATGAATAATCGAGTCAAATCAAATTTAAGCTATCAAATTAAATTGAGTTATTCGTGAATTTTAAATGAATCCAATTTAAGCCGATTTGAGAGTGAAACTAACTTTTATCAAATCAAAATGAATTAAGTTTTAATTCATTTTTTACTATAAATAAGAGAAATGTTATTTGAACACCTTTTTAAGTATGTAATACCATATTTTTATACGATGTCGTTTTTTTCCCCATAAGATTTATAAATGATGCATTTATAAACGATGAGGTAATACTTATAACCCAAGTGATGAGTTACTACTTCAACTCGTCGTCATGTCATGGTGATTATATTAAAAATTAAAAATTTATCTAATTTAACTATTATAGGTCCAATGATATTGCACCCTTTGAATCTTGAATGAGAATTATGATATATAATTTGATTTTAATTACTTGTGTCCTTGACCGGTGACTGGTGAGGGTCCTCAATTTGGAGATAAATTTTTCTATTATTTTCTTTTTTCTTACTTTCTCAACCAAAAAACAATAGTAACCAATTAATTGTAAGCTCACTTTGATTTAATATTTATTACATTATATGGAACAAATCCTTGAACAACATTTTGTCGGTTGATTATGTATACATTTTACTATGTTCTAAACGAACACATACAAAGTACACAAATCAAAAGAGAAAAAAATACAAATAATAAAACACATATAATAAATGAAAATGAAAACACAGAAAAATTATAAATTTTGGTACACCAAGATTGTAGGCAACATCCAAAACTCCATCATGTGACATCATAATCACTTCACTTAAGCACTTATGCAGTAGATAACTTTCCACCTTTGAGTGGCTTAACAACCTCCCATGTGAAATCAGCATCATCTCTGCCAAAATGTCCATATGCAGCTGTCTTCAAAAATCTACCATTCCCACCTCTCAAAAGATCAAGGTTGATTGAGATCATTCCAGGCCTAAAATCAAAGGTTTCCTTCACAATGTTAAGGATTTCCTTATCAGGAATCTTTCCGGTACCGTATGAATCGACGAAAACAGACAATGGCTCGGGCACACCGATGGCGTATGAAACTTGCACAAGGCACCTTCTGGCAAATCCATTAGCAACAATACTTTTTGCAGCTTGTCTTACAATGTAGGCTCCACTTCTGTCAACTTTGGTTGGGTCTTTTCCTGAGAAAGCACCACCACCGTGTGCACCCCAACCACCGTATGTGTCAATGATGATCTTGCGGCCGGTTAGACCCGCGTCACCGTGAGGTCCACCAATGACGAAACGGCCAGAAGGGTTCAAGTGGAAGATGGTTTTCTCATCAAGGTACTTCTCAGGGATCACAGGCTTGATCACATGCTCTTTCAAATCAGCTGCAATTTCATCGTTGGTGACAGTTTCGTCGTGCTGGGTCGAGATAAGGACAGTGTGGACACGGATTGGAACCATGGCACCCTTATCATTGTAATACTCAACAGTGACTTGTGTTTTCCCATCAGGTCTCAACCAAGGGCATGTCCCGTTCTTGCGAACCTCGGTGAGCTTAGCGCCCAACTTGGTCGCAAGAACGTGGCTAAGAGGCATAAACTCCGGGGTTTCATCAGTGGCATAACCGAACATGTGACCTTGATCACCAGCACCAATTTCTTCAGGTCTTTTTGTGAGATGGCCATGAACACCTTGAGCAATATCAGGACTCTGTTGCTCAATATTGACAAGAACTTTGCAGTTGTCAGCATCAAGACCAACATCATCTGAAACAAAACCTATGTTCCTGCATGTGTTACGGACAATTTTCTCATAATCAACATTGGCTTTTGTTGTGATCTCGCCAAAAACCATAACCATGTTGGTCTTTGTGCAAGTTTCACATGCAACTTTGCTCTCTGGATCTTGCTCAAGGCAAGCATCTAGTACAGCATCAGAGATCTGGTCGCATAGCTTGTCAGGGTGTCCCTCGTTCACTGATTCAGATGTGAATAGGAATGTTTCTGTTGCCATCTTTAATTAAAACCTGAAAACCATAGCAAAAGAAAGTAAATAAAGCATCAAAATCAAATTCCCTAAAATAATTAAGACATAACCTATTAAATATTGTCGCCTTTTTTCAGAAATGTCGGTGCTAATAGATCGCCCAGATCTAAAAGACCAGACAAAATTCCTATAAAATTGAAGAAACTCTCAAGTAAATGACTTCCATAACATTCCTCTAATCAAATCAAGTTCAAACTAATTGATAAAATCTCAATTAGCCCAAATAGCAAATTCCAAATTTGAACAATTTTACCAGATCTATATCAAGAAACGTGAAACTTAGAAGAAAGAAATAGAAGAAAAGTGTTACCTAAGAAATAGGTAACTGGTATGAGAAAGAGGAGTGGAAGCTTGAATATGGTTATTAAGTTTAATCAAGCTGTGCGAGTCCAAAGGGAAGACTAAGGTATGAATTTATAGGGAAAGAGAAACGGGGTTGTTGAAAGAGTAGTAAATGACTGAAAAGCCCCCACGAATCAAGATCTGGTATAGATTCATTTTTCATTGTTATATCGATTGAGTCACGTTCTTATTTAATGTCTGCTGGAAAATTGAAGGGTTGAGATTGGATCTGGAGATGAATCTTAACCGTGGGTGGCGTCGGTGGTAGTTGAAATAAATCGTGTCATGGACACCACAACTCAATATTAGACTATCACGCGTTTATGCTGTGGGGCCCGTTTCTACCGCATTTCCAACCATGATACTCGTTGTTGTTGGTTTTTGACTCCTTAATTAATTACACACTCTCATGCCTGGTTTTTGACTCCTTAATTAATTACACACTCTCATGCCACTTTCTAATGATTAATTTAGACTAAGCTTTAAATTATTTTATTCCCTTCATTCTAAGGAAAAAAAATGTTCACTTCACAACTTTTATATAAATTTAAAGGGAAATGATAACTAGTCTTTAGGGCATTTTTTTTTAATTTTAAATAGTAAGTTTTTATAAAAGTATGTGTAATGATGTGTAATAATGTGTATTAGAAATTGAAGTGTTTGAATTTTTTAAAGAATAATTTTTTAATATGAAATGTTTAAATAGTGTCCTAAGGGCACTGGTTAGTAAGATTCAAATTTAAATAATAGAGAGAGCAATATTTTTATTATTTATTGGAAGATATATCATTATCAAAAATACAAAATAAAAGATATTTAATTAAAAATAATATAAGTACTAGTAATTAGAAAATACAATTAAAAAATAATCAATATTATATAAAGAGTTTCAAACTGCAACTATTTAAAAAATGGTTTGCAAGTAGGTCATTTAATTTATAATGAAATAACTTTAATTTCTTGCATTTTATATTATAAGTTGTACTAGTATATTGTAAAAGGAAAAAAGAGGCGGTACTAGGTTCGAACAATGTCACATATTTTTTGAATAGGACCTTATAGTTGTTCCTTAATCAAATCACTCGTTTACATTAGAAGAATTTTTTATTAGGGAGCATTAAACATTGGAGTAAGAGTAATACAAGTGAGAGAGACACCAGATATTCATCTAAAACTTTAAGGTGATAGATGTGTGGATTCTCCCACTTATAAATACTTAACTCTCCACATTTATAGTCAATGAAGGACTCCAACTCACACTTGAATTTATTATTCTCAATATTTTCCCTCAAGAGTGAGTCCACAATGCTCTACCTCAAGTGAAAATTCTTTTGTCCCCATACATTTGTACCGCTGTTAACACTTCTTCTTAGGCATTTCGATGCACCTATTTCTTGGGCATTTCGATTTCAATGGGACACCTCTTTCTAGGCATTTTGATACAAGTAAGTCGGTCTCTTTACTCGAACCAGGCTCTGATACCATTTGTTGGGAAAGTTTTTCACTATGAACCATTGAATATTGGGTCAAGAACAATACAAGTGAGAGAGACACCACATATTCACGCAAAACCTTAAGGTTTTGGGTGAATATGTGGTGTCTCTCTCACTTGTGTTGCTCTTGATCCAATGTTCAATGCTCCCTAATGAAAAATTCCCCCAACAGTCTATTGGATGGTACATTCGCCCATTAGTCGTATTACTAGCTCTTTGTTGGGCTTGGATAAAACTTCATATAGCCTACTCATAAAACATGACGATTGACATGTCCTAGAAAATTAAGGGTATAAATGCTAAGTTAGAGAGAAAAATCGCGTTCTCTTGAAGAATAGGAGAAATAATAGTTCAACGCTCCTTAGTGGACATTCAATTCACTCAAAAATCACTTAGACACAAAGTTTCTCACCATTCATGTGCAACACTAAGAATAACCCTAAAATCATCAGATATCCTTACACAGTTATGGGTTGTCACTCATTGTACTCTTATTAAGTACAATTGACGCATATTGTGGTGTTTCGATAAAATTGACATGTGCCACCATTGCATCATACAGTCTGGTTGATATTCACATCTTCAACCTCTTTATCCAATAAGGTGAACAAGTGGGTAGCAACTCCGACCAATACTAGTTTCGACGATGATGAAGACACCATAGCAGAAATGTGTGGCACCATGGATGACTTATGTCTCCAAAATCATACTCTAGAGGCCAACATCCTTCACATCCAGCAGTCTAGGTTAACCCTCTTGAGGAGACTTCTATTTTGAACCACTAACCTCTCTCTGCTGAAATATGGGAGGCACCAATACCAAAGAATTTCAAGCTTCCATCACTGACCATGCTTGATAGACGCAACGAACCCCAAGAGCATGTTGCTTCAATCAACACATAGATGGAAATTATTGAACTCTCATATTCCCTAAAATGCAAGTTTGTCTCTAGACCCTTTAGAAACAGGACATTAAGGTAGTATATTAGCCTGCCACGACTCTCGGTCACCAATTACCACAACCTAGTAAAGAAGTTAGTCCACCAGCCTTTCAACATTCGCCAAGGTCCCTTAGAGTCTCTATGGTTGTATCTCGCATGTTTTAACGAGGCTAGCATCAAGGTTGTCCACCAACCAGTAGACATTTGTAGGAGCATTCCAAAATGGATCGAGGTTTGAGCGTTTTAACGAATCCCTCACCCAAAGGATTGTTCTTCCATGGTAGAGGTAGTGGCGTACCCAAAATGCTATATAAAGGACAATGAGAGCAACACCGAGAACAAAGTCTGAGATGTTAAAGAGCAGACACGTGACAACTATAGTTACTCGTAACAGTCCTGCACGAACCACTATACCTCGCATATTAGATACACTAAAATCTTCAAACATAGAGGGAGGTCTACAAAGAACTTCACGTCCTTTAATATTCGTCATGATAAAAATATGGCGTGAGGTCCTTCATATGCATGATATTCCACCTCTTATAAACCATAGGTCAGACGTCATGGTGCCTGAACCCAGCACGTGGTGTAAGTTTCACATGGTCAAGGGCCACCACATTGAAGACTGCTACCTGATCAAGAAGAAAATTGAACACCTAATCCAAGAAGGTCATTTGAAAGAAAAATTCAGAGGCACCTTCACCCAGACAATATGTGGATCTAGCTCTAAAGAGAAAGATTCCCCTAAAAGCCTTAGATCCAAGAAGAGCAATGAACCAAGTAAGGGGGCAACGACACACCTGTGCATCATACCCTTAACATTGTAGTAGAGGGGTTCATCGGAGCTAGGGAGACTAGCTCCGCCTCTAAAAGGTACGCATGCAAAATTTTGTCGATAGAAGACTCGTCTAACATCCCTAATTCATAAAAGAAGGAATCTCTAAAGTCTGAGATCACCTTCTCAAAGACATACACATCAAGAATTCATCCACATGATAACAACCCCATCATCATAAATGTAAAATATGATGACTAGGAGATTGAAAAGTCTTGATTGATCAGGAAAGCTCTACGGACATCCTTTACTAGGATGCTTTCGAAAGGCTTTTCACTAATAGGATTCTTAGGCGAACAAGTGTAGTTAAAGGGTTATATCACTCTAAAGATCATGTTTCAGGCCAAGGAGAGTGCAAGGAAGATCAAGGTAGTATATATTATTATAGACGTTCCTTCTTCATACAATATGATCATAGAGAAGTATGCTTTCAATCAGTTGGGAGCTGACCTATACACATTGTACATAAGCATGAAATATTCACTGCTCGATGGGTGAGTTGGGGTTATCCATGGGGACCAAGAGACCGCCGTGACGTGTTATCTATCTAGCTTGAAGTTGAAGATGGAGACTATGATTGCGGTCCATACCCTGTAGCCAAAGGAATAGGAACTAAATATTGTAGACTTGAAGAAAGGAACAAAACTGTAAAAGATAGCTATAAAAAAAAATATTTATCCACCTTGTTCTAGAGAAGCACGAGGTGGTAAATTGATATGTTGACACACACGGGTCAAAAACAAGTAAATAAAGTGTAGAATAAGGAAGCTACACTCGAGTCGTATCGCAAGGACTCTAAGTTAATTTAACCAAAGGAAAGAAACGAAAAAGGGGGTTTTAGGTTTTTGGACAATTGAAAATAAAGAAAAAATTACAATTATGATTAAAGTATTAATTTACTGGTTCGGTAATTTTAGACTTATCATCGGTTATTATATCACCAATTTACTGAGCTGGTTCAATTCCTATTTGATTATAATCTCAATTAGACAAGAAAAATCAATATCATGTGAATTATATTCCTATTGATTGCATTAAGCATGACGGTTAAAGATCAGACAAAGTTAACAAATAAGCTAAGTTAATACGTGAAGTCAAGGAACATGCATCAATCAAATTTAATCAATCATATTCTATGAAACTCAAATTATGCAAACAATGCACATAAAACAGAATTGAAAGGAAATGAATAAAATATAGATAATATAATAACCTCAAAGTCTTGATGAAATTCTGAAATAGTAGATAAACCTAGGAGTTTATCCGACCATGTAATCCTAGTGCTCTTCTTTATTTTCTAAAAGCGATCTCTCTGTAGAATTCGTAGTCGTCTAATGTAATTTCAGGAATGTTGAAT